GATCTCTTTCTTTCTGCTCCCTGTTCTCAGGTGATTGAGGAAGGGATTTAAAAGAGAATTTATTGTAGAAAGAACTAAGAGAGGGTATTTAAGAAGTGGAGGAATCTTACTGTAGCTACAGTAACGATTGTATTTATTGAGGAATCTTAAGTTTGAGATTCACTCATAAATTGTAATTTCTTGTTGAGAATAATAAGAAATTAACTGTGTGGCTCCCGAGGACGTAGGCAGTTTCCGAACCTCGTTAAATCTTGGTGTACTTTCTCTATTCTGTATTTCTGTTGCATTAGGGATTTCGGCGTTAAATTCCCAACAACTGGTATCAGAGCGTGAAACGATCTAGAGGAAGCCAGATTCGAGTGGGAGTCATGACCACAGATGAAGGAAACACTACCACAAAATAGATATATGGGGACGGTTATTTGGGGACGGTTTAAAACCGTCTCCTTTGCCTCCTAAGGGAACAGTTGTGTGACGGTTACAATCGTCACAATAGAGTCTAAGGCAACAGTTCAAAATAATGTGTTGGGCTTGAATTAGGCTTCAAAAAAAAATTGGTAGGCTAAAAGGATAGTTTTATTAAGGGCTCGTGCCCAAACTTTTTTAAGAAAAGTTATTTTCTTTCTCAGAACCGCGCCCTCACCTGATAAGTCTAAAAACTTTCTTCACCCGATAGTTCTAGGGTTTTCTCCGCTCTCGTCGACTCCTCTCGGAACCGCGTCCGCCGTCCGCCACTCCTCTCCTCTCAGAACCGCCGTCCGCCACTCCTCTCCGCTCTCGTTTTTCCTCTCGTCGACGCCTCTGTTCGCGTTTTTCCTCTCGTCGACGCCTCTGTTCGCCGCCTGCTACCTGATCTTTGTCAGTTCGTCGCGCCTCCCCCGTCAGCCGCGACTATCATCTTGTGATTTGGGGTATATCTCTCTCATTTTTAGTCATCAAACCTAGGGTTTCAATTTTTTTTCTCTATTTAATGAAAATTTTATTTGATTTTACAAATTAGGGCTTTGTTGTTTTGGTTGTGTCAGTAGCAGTTGTTTGCCTCATGACGACTTATAAATGTGGTTGCAACCACAGTCGTAAAATATCCTTCGGTTGCAATTGATGACTTGTTTACAAATTTGGGGGTATTTGCAGTTGAAACTTTTTTTAGGCAGCAATAGAATTTAAGGTTGTAACTAATCCACAATAATTACAAATAGATTAGTTTCCATAGACCCCCTATAGTATCCCCTTAGGAGCTCTGTAATTCTAGCTGCATAGACCCTGACTGAAAACTTTTTTAACTCTTTAATTCTCAGAGAAAGAGAAATTTTGTTTTTGTTTTACAAATATACCCTCTGACGGTGAGTGAGAAAAAAAATTCACTCAGGGAGTCTATGTTCAATAATAGCGCTGCAGGGGTGGCCCCCTAATTAACCCAATTCAAAAAGGACCTGATTCCTAAAAACAAACACTCAAGAACTCAAATTGTAAAATTTTAAAACTGAACCAATCAACTATAGATGCATTCAACTAGCAATTGCATTGTAATGATTGTTGCTAGGATATATATTATTGATGTCTCAATATATTTACTTTTCTCTAGCAGATACAAATTATGGATAGAGATAGAGGTTGGATGTATAATACTTCTCGCGTAAGTGCCGAGTACATTGAAAAAGTGAATGACTTTCTTGATAAAGCATTTGCAAAAGCAGCTAAAGGGAATGAAATATGTTGTCCTTGTCGTGGTTATTTTAATCGTTGTTGGCATCAGCGAAATATTGTCTGCAATCACTTGATTGTCAAGGGATTTATAGATAATTATTACAAATGGGTTTTCCATGGTGAGGATTTGCCATCAAGATTGAACGTCCATAGCGAGAGTGATGATGATGATGCACGTACTCATGATGATGTAGGCGGATTACTACATGATATTTTTAGAGGCACAATAGAAGAGTTTTCAGATAACGATGAAGAAGGCATAAAGGAAGGCACAGAGGAATTGACCGAGGATGCTAAGAAATTTTATAAGTTAGTGGAAGAAGGCCAACAAGAGTTATTCCCAGGATGCAAAACTTGCATAAGTGCATACATGGACTAAGCAATGAGGCATTTGATGATTCTCTGACCTTGTGGAGGGAAGCAATTCCAGACATAAAGTTGCCAAAGTCTTTTTATGAAGCCAAAAGGATTGTCAAGGACTTGGGTCTCGATTATGAAAAAATACATGCGTGCTCTAACGATTGTATGCTATTCTATGGAAATGTAAATGGGAAACTGAATAAGTGTAGTAGTTGTGGTGCTTCTCGGTGGAAGCCAAAGAAGGATGATGCAGCAAATGACTCCAATCAACCAACTAAAAAGGTGCATAATGTTCCAGTTAAGGTTTTGAGGTACTTTCCTTTAAAACCTAGAGTTCAAAGACTATTTATGTGTTCTCAAACTGCTAAATCTATGAGTTGGCATTCTTAGGAGCGCATCTAGGATGAGATTCTAAGGCATCCGGCTGATGGTAAAGCTTGGAAAGACTTTGATGAAAAGCATCCAGAGTTCGCATTAGACCCTCGTAATGTGAGATTAGGGCTTGCTAGTGATGGATTTAACCCCTTTCGAACAATGAGTATTGCGCATAGTACATGGACAGTTATCTTAATCAACTATAATTTACCGCCATGGATGTGCTTGAAGGTAGAATATTTCATGCTATCTCTACTTATTCCTGGTCCTCAATCCCCTGGCAACAACATTGACATATACTTGCAGCCACTGATTGATGAATTGAAAGAGTTGTGGGAAGTTGGATTGCTTACATATGATGCTTCTATCAAACAATCATTTAAATTGCGTGTAGCTTTGCTTTGGATAGTTAGTGACTTCCCAGAATACGCAATGTTGTCCGGATGGATTACTAAAGGCAGGTTGGCTTGTCCTTATTGCAATTATAATACATGCTCTGAGTATTTAAAATATAGCAAGAAGATGTGTTATATAGGTCATCGTAGATTTTTAAAAGATGACCACCCATGGCGATTTAATAAAAGATCATTTAATGGTGACATTGAGCTTGGAAGAGAACCGATATCACTATCTGGGACTAAAATTATAGATGAATTATCTGATTTTGTCAATGAATTTGGAAAAAAGCAAAAGAAAAAAGCAAATAGAAATTGTCCGTGGAAGAAAAGGTCAGTATTTTTTGATTTACCTTATTGGGAGCATAATAGATGTCGTCACATGCTAGATTTAATGCATATTGAGAAGAATGTTTGTGACAATATTGTTGGCACATTGTTAGACATTCCAGGAAAGACGAAGGATCATGTTAAAGCTCGCTTTGACTTACAAAAAATGGGCATAAGACGAGATCTTCATCCTGTGCAGTCGGCTGATGGTCGTCGTGTTACATTTGCGAAAGCTTGCTTTTCTATGACATCACAGGAAAAAGAAATGTTTTGCAAAGTGTTGGCAGATGCAAAAGTGCCTCATGGTTGTGCATCAAATATCTCAAGATGTGTAAATATGAGGGAGAAGAAAATATCTGGGTGTAAGACTCATGATGCGCATTTTCTTATGTAATATTTACTTCAAATTGCAGTAAGAAGAAGTTTGTCTAGGAGTGTTGCTATTCCTCTCATCAGATTAGGTGCTTTCTTCAAGGGTTTATGCAGCAAAGTTCTCAAGCCAGTTGAACTTAAATCCTTGCAGTCTGAGATCGTAGAGATACTTTGTCAACTTGAGAAAATATTTCCACCAAGTTTCTTTGACATCATGGTTCATCTTCCTGTTCATTTAGTTCAACAAATTTTGGATTGTGGGCCAGTCAACTACTTCTGGATGTACCCAACAGAGAGATATCTTTGTAGATTAAAGTCATATGTGCGTAATAGAAGTGCTCCTGAAGGTTCCATAGCAGAAGGATATTTAGCTGAAGAGTCCCTAACTTTTTGCTCATTATATATGCATGATGGTGTCAAGACAAGATTTAATAGATACACAAGTATGTATGAGAGAGTTGATGTTGCAGAAGAGACATCGCCAATTTTTCCTAAGATAGGTCATCCATTGGGAGGAAAGAGGAAAAGAAAGGGCAAAGCATTTACATTAGATAATGTTGACTGGGTTAATGCACATCGATATGCCTTGTACAATTGTGATAACAATGAAGTTGATAATTATATACGGTATGATTCATTACTTAAATATTACTTCTTATTTAATGTTGTTGTCCATATTTCACTTTATAGACCTATGTATTTTGTATTGTTATGCAGTGAACATAAACTTTTGATTGAGAATCAGTCAAGAAAAAGAGGCAGAACAAATAAATGGACGGGAGCTCAAAAGCACAGCAAGGACTTCACTGACTAGTTTAAAATTAGTGTATCTGAGTTGGAATCAGCGCCTGATTATCTAAAATGGTTATCAATGGGTCCTAATTTTGTAGCAAAAAAATACAGAGGCTATTATGTGAATGGTTGTACTTTCCACATCAAGGCGCGTGATGAAACATGCAAAACTCAGAATAGTGGTGTGTCTGTAACCAGTCAAGTAGACAGTTATGCAAGTTCTAAGGACCATAATCCTAAAACTGGAAATGTTACTTTTTATGGCGTCATACAAGATATCATTGAAATAGACTATTGGGGCAAATTTAGTGTTGTGCTATTCAAATATGACTGGTTTTATTCAGAAGAAGATGAATATGGGCTTATCCGCATCAATTTTAATAACAAAGGCCATATAAATGATCCTTTTGTCATGGCATGTCAAGTTCATCAAGTTTTCTATGTGAAGGATCCTGTTGAAGAGGCAAACAAGAATTGGCATTATGTTTTAAAGAAGCTTCCTAGTCATGTTTATGATATTGACCGTGATATTGATGCTACACATGGAGGTGACTATTGGGTTGAAAGTATTGACATTGTCAGTGATTTAATCCCAACTAGTAATGATGACATAGATGATGTGGGTTGGTGTAGAGATGATGTGCCAAGGTCCACTGTTGACATTCCTCCAAATATATATATTCATGATGATAATATAATGGAAGGTGATGAAGACAGTGACTTTGATGAAACAGATTGGGATTGGATGGAGTAAAGACATGAGACTTTCTGTATGTTTTGAAAGAAATGAGCTTTGAACTTTATGTTTTGAGTATATGGGTTGAGTAGACTTTGTCATTTTCTTTATGATTTGAGTATGAATTATTAGTTTAAAGAACGCAGAATTTTTGCTAATATATAGACAAGTTGTGCGAGTATTAGTATCTTATACTATCAAAGTTAGGCATGTTAACATCGTCACATATTAGGCCAGACTTTTGCATATCTAACAAAGAGCCACTGTGGCATTTTTTTGAACAAAAATGGTAATACTGTTCCTCCATTCTAACTTTCTTGCATTGCTGATGTTCGGATGAAACTTAAATTGTAAAAATGGTAATACTGTTCCTCCATTCTAACTTTCTTGCATTGCTGATGTTCGGATGAAACTTAAATTGTAGCGCCTATAGAACTCCAGTGCCAAAGATTAGTATCAAATCGTTCACATCGTATGATTGGCTAATACAAAAAATGCACTTTGTATCAAAATAGGAGGAAGAACAAAACAGTTGATGACGCAATTACTTTATGCAACTTGATGGTCTGATGAAGTAAATCTTTATTTAATGCAATTACTTTTGTATTATTCAACCAAAAGTTTAATTGTAGTCATGCTGTAATTTTCCTTACAATTGTGAAAATTTGATGTTTTATCCCATTTGCCGTTGAAGGATTAATTGTAAGGTGGGGGACCTTAGATTAATTTGTAGCTAAGAGCTGAACATATATTTTACAGAAAAATGAGTTTCTTCTTGAACAAAGAGACATGTCCTGGCTATAGCTTCTGAGTTCTGATACCATTTGTGATTAGAAGCCAAAAAACAATCAATCCAAATTATATGCATCAAGTTGCATATAATTCAGGTTGAACTTATTGAGTGAACTTATTGAGTAGAAAAAAAAATACAAGGACTGAGGTTCGGTTCATGACCATCTGTTTTGACTAGAAAAAATTACAATTCGCGATATTGAAAAACCACTGAAACATATAAACATCTTATGACAAAACGTATTTAGCCTATTATGCAGAGTATGGGGGTACACATGAAAAATAATTGATACTAATATACAATAAAAATTATGTTTCTCAATGACCGCTGCATTGATATCTTCTTATAAGAATAATTACTCAAAACTCCAGAAGTTGGTAGCATCGCAACTTGTACCTTAATTTTTCAGGTAATATTGATTGTGAATGAAACATAAGGATAAGCCTCTGTTTCACCTCCTAAACCAGCAATGTTTGCGTCTTCTTCGGATTTCCAGTAAGTGCTGAAAACAAAATAAAACTCCAGTCAGCAGAAAGCCTACAAAATAAAAATTATGTTATCATTTATATCTTTTTTTCTTGCTTGCTTCGAACAAAGTTCTCTTAGGCTGACAGCTAGATCTGTTTTGTCTCAGTAACCATAATCTGATATATGGAATAGCGTAGTTAGTAATATTCTCTTATAGGATAATTTATATTCATTAGGTTTCTTATATCTGACTGTTTGGTTTTGCAACAAAAAGGCACACTTTTCTATCAAAAAAGAAAAAGAAAAAGAAATAGATCATTTGAGTTACCATGGAATATGCATTCCCTACAATTCATCGAGAACTTTCATGCATTTTGCACGAATATGCATTCTGATGTATCTTTTGTCCTTGGAGTTACCAGGTAACAAACAAAAACATGGAAGCAGAAAAAAATTCTGTGTCAACCTCTTCAAAACAGAAGAGATCATGTGAGGTAAGTTGGGTTGATTTTTAATTGTATATTCTAAGTTTCTTTCTCTAACTGTATTAATTTTTTTACTTTTCCTTGTTTGTAGGTTACGAGCGCAGAATGTGGACGTGGTGACAAAAAGAAGCAAAACAGGATCTTTTATCCTCCGAAACAGATTACAAATGTGGCAACGACATGTCCACAAGTGCGCTCAAAAGAACATAATCGGGTAAATAATATGGATATTATGAGAAAGTATGCGCCCAATATATGTGAACCATCTACTAAAAATATTGCAATACAAAGAAAAGAGTTAGAGGTGCAGACAAAGAAGAAAATGATCTGTATGAGACAATCAAGAGAGGAGAAAATGTTGGATGAAATAGAAAATGCGGAGCGAGATATTCGGGAAAAAATCATAGAGCAAAAGGGACAATCTAGTAAGGCATGACAACAAATTCACAATCATGCACAAATAAAGGTGATCACAAGAGGAGAACACTCGGCCAACATAGAAGATGAAGAGGAAGATATTAGAGAGGATTTCATAGAAGATGCTGAAGGAGATGTTAGTGAACATGATGAGCAAGATGAAGAGGAAAATATTTTGGAGGATTTTACAAACGAGTCTGAAGGAGGTGAGGACTTAAGGGAACAACCAACAAGACAGGTAGCCAATAAAGTGGTAGACAAACCCAAAAAATATCGAGGGCAAACTAAATGTGAAAAAATTCATGCACGAAGTGTCCATGATCGACAAGTTATTTTTTTAAATGGATATGGACAACCTATCGGACCGTCAGATAAGGCATGCAGTGAACTTAGCAGTTTCTTAGGCACACTTGGAAGAAACTCAAGTTTTGCACCTCTGGATAAGGAAAATTGGCACAAAGTTGAAGAAAAAGATAAAGAAAAAATATGGGATTATGTTAAGGTACGATTTTTATAATTAATCGATATTTCCTGTTGTTCTTTCCCTCTTATTTATATCAAGTATTTATGATCAAAATTTTGTTTATTGTCAAATTATGTTAATGTAGGAAAAATATGACATTCCGGAGGATGGGAAAAAATGGACCCTAGAAATTGTCAATTGTGCATGGAGGCGCTGGAAGTCCATATTGAAGAAGAAGTGTTTTGACGGGTTCAAAAATGACAAACAAAGACTAAAGACACGGCCAAATACTATACCTGAAATAGAATTTAAAGCCTTGCTCAAATTCTGGAACTCCGAACAATCAAAGGTAAATGAGAAAACAGACATGCAGTTTCTGTTCTAGCATCAATCTTAAAGTATTATTTCGAAACATGAGCTTTCCCTTCTTTGATAAGTCATCTTGGAGTAGAATATTTATGCAATATAAGTGAGCTTTCCATTTGTTTTAAGAGTAAATAATCCTCAGTTTGAGCTGATTGAGATTCAGAAACCTGACATCGCTGGGCTGACATCGCTGGGCTGCAATATAAGTGAGCTTTCCATTTGTTTTAAGAGTAAATAATCCTCAGTTTCGAAATAGTATTATTTCGAAACATCAATCTTAAAGTATTTGTTTTATGTAAATAATCCTCAGTTTTGTCTACTCTGAAACCTGACATCGCTGGGTTGATTAAGATTCAGAAAGAAGGAATTTGAGCTTTAAGTCTGGGAGGGAAAGAAAAGGGAAGTCCAGTCTATGTGAGTCCTATACAACATACAAACACTATTTATTTCTCTCTTGTGGTAGCCCTTCACAGCTAGAGGATGATGCGTGCATTTTCTTGGTTGCATGTCCTTTTGTGCTTGGAGTCCTTAACCTTGTTATTAACAGGGTAAGGGAATGAAACAATGTTGGGAGTCCTTAACCTTGTTATTAACAGGGTAAGGGAATGAAACAATGTTGGCCTGTCCTTTTTTCTTCTCCTGTTTTGATTCTGATGCCTCACCTTGATGAGTGTGTACAGTGAATATCGTAAAGTGACATGGTTTATGTCTCTTTAATACTCGGTTCCATCAATTTTTGTTTCAAGGAATCTAAACAACTCTATGGGAAGGACTATATAGACAATAGTCCCTCAAACCTTTCAATGTTTTCATATTAATCCTCAACTCTCTGGACTTGTTCATCAGGCCCTCAAAATCCTAAAGGGTCTTGCAATTTTGTCCGTCAATGACCAAGATACCTGTCGGTTTATGTTTTCCACCACATTCGCTCTGTTAGATTTGGGGGTGGAAACCAACCTCCGCCGGCGGGGAGCTCCGACGAGCTCGAGGATGGCGCAGGCGAAGCTGGAGGGATAGTCCCAGGCGAGCTCGAGATCCGCTGCGAACGCCCACCTGACCCTCGCGTCCAGCAGCTCGACAACCCTCGCGTTCAGAAGCTCGACGACCATCGCGTCTAAGCTCGACGACCCGCGCGTTTGGGAGATGCCGACCTCCGCGTCATTGGCGACGCTCGCGTCCAGTTTGAGTGCTGGCGACAGGCTGTCGCTAGCCCACCAAATCCAGCCTATATAAACCTTTGGGATCTAGGGTTTCGGGGCCGAAGTTTTTCCCCCTCTTGAGATTAAGAAAAAAG